GTTTTCCAACCAATGTATTTTTTTCTGAAAAAAGGTGATATTTGATTATATGCTTCTACACAGAGCATCGGAGAAGAATCATTAGCAGACATTTGTATGGGAAATAGTCCTGGTCCAGATTTGGTCTTGTTCTTGGTCCTGATTCTGATCCTGGTCCTGGTCCTGGTCCTGACCCTGATCCTGGTCCTGACCCAGACCCTGGTCTTGGTCCTGGTCACACATAATGATGCAGTTTTATTGCATGTATCAAATAAATATGGTTTAATGTCTTATACTCATTCCAAAACAATATCTAAATATAACTTTTATCTTAAATGTTCTTTTCCCAAAGCCTGATAACACAGAGCTCTCTCCCTGTTGGTTCTGTCCAGGCGAGGTGTTCCACAGCTCCGCCCCTGAGCGCTTCTCCTTCTCTGAGGCCCAGTCCTTCTGCAGAGGCCTGGGAGCACAGCTGGCCTCCACGGCTCAGCTCCACGCCGCCTGGAACGACGGCCTGGACCTGTGCAGTCCCGGATGGCTGGCAGACGGCAGCGTGCGCTACCCCATCGTGACCCCCAGGGAGCGCTGTGGGGGCGGGGAGCCGGGGGTCCGCACTGTGTACCGCTACAGCAACCAGACGGGCTTTCCAGAACCACACACACGACACGACGCTTACTGCTTCAGAGGTATCAGTGCTGAGGTCCATGTTTTATTATTTTATGATTTTATGATCTCTAATCTTAAAGAATAGATCCTGTTTGATGAGTGCTGCAATTTCTCCTTCTATTCTGCTAAAAAGTGCAACTTTGACTTAAAATGTCTCCACTGAGGGATGAATAATGTTTCTCTTATCTAATGTGTGTTATCGATTCTAGGATCAAGGATTTCTGAAACTGCTGAAAGAACTTCCACAAACTTTGCTTTTTGACATTGATTTTCTCCTTTTTTGTTTCTTGTTTTGTTTTTATATATATATATTTTAAAAAACCCACAATTTTCTAACTGTTTGAGTCTGTCCATACTGTAATGCCTTTGGGAAAACCGTCCATCCATCCATTTTCTTCTGTTTTATCCAAAGCCGACTTACAAGGGCAGCTCTAAGTAGAGCCTCCCCGACTCCAGCTCATCTGGGGGAATCCTGAGGTGTTCCCAGGCCAGCTGTAGACCCAGTCCCTCTGTGTCCTGGGTCTACCCCTGGTCTCCTCCCTGTGGTCTATAAACAACTACAAGATTTTTTAATCCCATTGAACAATTTCTCTTACTTCTCAATCAAAACAAATTGGTCTCTTCTGCACATTTGTTTTTTAAACTATGTTCAATGTATTTTTGTACCGCCCTAAATCACAGCAGTGAGATCGGATAATAAAAAAATAAAAAAGTGCAATGATCCAAATCACACAGAGCCATTGGTCCACAAGGGGCGGACGACCAATGTCCATGAATGTTGATAAATGTCCCCGGATAATCACCACCGGCAAAGGACAACAACAACAAAAACCACACTGCAAAAAGTAATGAGAAATAAGTCAAAAATTGCTCAAATTTGGCTACATTTTTCTCTCAATGGGACAAAGCAAAAGGATCTTGTTGTAAAAAGAAACAAGAAACGTCTCCCTCGGAATGAAAAAATAAATAAAAGACAAACTTTATTGACCTCACAACGGAGAAATGTCACATTTGGCACAGATAGAATCACTCAAAAAGACAGGAAGTGTGCAACATGTTAAAAGGTTAAAACATAGTCTCTTTTGTGCAAGATGCATAATGTTCAATAAAAAAATAAAAGTGACTGCAGCAGCAGTTCTTGAAATCAGACAGAATAGTTTTGTCTCATTGGAGAATCTAGTTTTAACACAGTCACACTGTGTCAGACTAATTTCTTACAGTGCGGTGGGGAACAAAGTGAGAAACCTCAGAGCGACCCACATTGATTATCTGTCAAACCCGTCCATAACCGCACATTTGTCAGCGGTCAGGAGAAAAGTTTCCTCGGCTCTGGCTTCTGCTGACGTATGTGTCTGTTTCTGTTCCAGTTGAAAACTCTCCGTACACCGGTTCTCCTCCGGGCGAGCCGACGGATGTCATCGACTTCACTCACTCGTTTAAAGGGGAAGACTCTGGACACGTGACGGTTCAAGACAGCGCCACGGTCCAGCACACGGAGGAGCCCACGGTTAACCACTCTGCCACTCCGGTTCAGCCATTCACCGAGAACGATCGCCGGACGTCTGCAGCACAAGATCACGCAGCTACGACTCATACTGGAGCCTTAGGAGTCAAGGAGAAGATTAATCAGGACACAATCCAAACAAATCCTAGTGTTCCAGTTTTACATCACACAGAAATTCAATCCAATTCGACAGATGCAGAAAGTTTTGAGGCCACACCCACGACTGAAGCGAACGCCTCGGACATAATCGAGAAAAATCAAACATATATCATCTCCTCGTCTCGTGCCGAAAGCAATTTTTCTCACGATTTGGGAGAGGGTTTTGACAAAGACAATTCCACCGTGTTTCTGGAGGTGGTGGAAGAAGCAGAAGAGTCGACGACTGTTTGTGACGTGACCGACCCAGCGGAGGATTTAGATGAACTCGGTGAATTAGAAAACGTCACAGCGACGGTGGAACCAGGACCAGAGAGAACCAACGAGAGTCTGGTCTCACAGAACGGAACCGCCCACGTCTGCTCCTGTCATTTAGCGGCTAACGAGTCAGGTAAAGTCAAGGATAGTAATTCAATCTGGACGGACTCAAGATCCAGGATGTATTAGAATCAGTACAGAATCTATACAAACTGGCAAAAGAATGTTGGTTGACATTTGAGTTATCAGAATCAAAATCAATTTATTGCCATTTGCAGAAAAAAACTACATTGGAAAACAAACAGATGACACTGGGGAAACCAACACCACAAAGCACACACACACACAGACAGACAAAAATTATTAAAATAGCTAGACAAGACGCAGTGAGGCACATATAAAACTCTTAAAAGCATGATTAAGAAACTATGAAGAGCTAAAAAGAGAAGCAGAGTTAGAAAGACAAGTTTGGCATAAGTAGCAATGGACTGACAGAGGATTAATGATAACGAGGATTTGTGTCTTTGTCGCAGATGACCAGTCGTCCGGAGAGCTGTCCGTCTCCACAGAACCATCTCCTGATCATTTACCGACTCTGCAAACTTGGTCCAAACCTGACGAACCCACACCTGAAGCATCCACAGACTCAGACCTCTCTCCTTTGCTCCACGCAGTCACTTTTATGGCCTCCACTTTCACAACTCCTTCCCCAGATATCGCCGAAGAAGAAACCAGGACCCAGAACCTTGCAGCTGTTCCCAGTCTCTCCACCGAAGCTGTTTCGGTAGGACCCCAGACGGAGATGTTCGATGGTGGTTCAGGACAAGACGTGGAAGAGAAGACAGAAGAGTTTAGTCCAGAGCCCACAGCCCACAGCGCAGCAGAGGGGGGTACGGACCTCCAACGGATCAGCTTGGGTTCATACGAGAGCGTGACGGTGGGATGGCAGCTGGAGGCCTCTGAGGTCCCACAGGAGGCCAAGTCTGAGGTGGTCTACAGCCGGTCCCTGAGCTCTGTGACCGGAGAGACCGAGGAGCCCCCGACCGAGACAACGGACCGGAACATCAACGGTGAGACTCAAACCGGTTGAGTCTGGATTCTCGTTTGAATTGTTTTTCTTAATCAAATATCTAAATGGTTCATGAATATCAATGTATTTTTGTATCGTCCGAAATCCCAGCAGTAGTTTTCTCTGAGGACTTTCCAACAACAACAAAACTATTCATTGTGATCAGTCTCAATTATATGATGTTAGAAATATATGATGTTTATGTTTTGAATTGATTATTTGGTAATTCTATAAAAGAAAACCAAAGAAAGACAATGTAGAAAGGGGTAGGAAGGAGTAGCAGTAGGTAGGGGTACATTTAACATCAACCTACTCTTAACAACAACTAATCAACAACAACAATAACTTTACAAAGCCGTCGATTCACCAACACAGATCAGAGGAAATGCCATGATAAAAAAAAACACATAGAGCCATTGGTCCTTAAGTAATGTAAGTAAGTAATGTTTATTTATATAGCACATTTTACAGAGCAAGGTCACCCAAAGAGCTTTACAATGTTCAGAGTTCAGATATTGTTCCAATCATTCCACACACGGTGATGACGGAAGCGAGTCGCTGACCACACTGGATCAAAGCCCCCAACCAACACCATCATTTACATTCATACATATTCAAGTTTTTAAAAAGCAAAGGCTAAGGAGTGCTGCGTGGTACAAGCGTGTAAAATTATTTAAAAGACCAGGTGCTAAATTGGACGAGGTTTAACTTAATAACAAAAAATGGAGTTTTGACTTTCCAGGTAAAGGGCAAATGGTGAAGATCTTAGAAAATCAAAAAATCCAAGGCACTCGTGGTCAATAGTTTAGAAAGTTTAAAAAGCCTTTATTTTCTCATGGTTGTGGATTAAAATACGCACCAACCTATGCAAGTTTTTAGTGGTAGGGGAAACAGGAGCACCCGAAGGAAATCTAGACACGGGAAGAACATGCAAACTCAACTCAGAAAGGCCCTGTGCCGACCGGGACTCGAACCCAGGACCTTCTTGTTGAGAAGCGACACCCTACTGCAACAGCAAGGAACAGCTCCAAAACCGAGTAGGAAATAGTGAGAAACCTAGGGGAGCCTCCCACAGATAAAGAGACAGGCGGTAGATCCAGGACTCAGGCTGTAGAACGAGGATTGAGGCCGCGCGATGCAGGACTGGGGCCGATGGAGAAACGTTCTATTTCTATAATTCAGATAACTGTGTGAAACTCGATCACTCGATATTGATTTGAAGCAGAGTGTGTTTTGTTTCCAGAGCCTTGGTCTGAAGAGGACGACTCACGAGAAAATTGTCCGTGGCGAAGTCGCGAGGAAACCACAGATGGATCTTTGACCACAGATGACCAGAGGACCCCTCCCTCTCCCCACACCCCCCACACCCCCCTGGAAGTGGCAGACGATGCGGCCATGGCTGCCTCTGTGGCGGAGGTCAGAGTGGCAGCTGCGGCTCTGTCAGGTACAACTTTCTTTCTTTCTTTCTTTCTTTATTCTTTATTCTTTACATGTGTTTAACGATATACCAAACAATACATCAAAGGATCGAAATATACAGTTCACATGTCAGAATAGGAGCATGTTGAAGACTGAGTCTTATTGTTCATGCCCCTAAAGCAAAAAAGAAAAAAAAAATAACACTTATTTTGATGATGATGAGCGCCTCAAAAAAATAAATAAAAATACAATCTACACACATTTGCTTATATACAATATACACACATTTAGTTTCCTCACAGTATAATTACTATTGTTATTGTTCTCTTTTTTTTTTTTTTCTAAATTGTTTTTTGAAATATGTATTGGTCAATGATTAACACACATTTTACTTTATTTTAACCTCCAATTCCAAATATTTTGTACATGCATATACACACACACACAAATATGCACACATCAAAGTATGTACGCATACACACACCCACACACAGGCATGCACATATCAAAGTATGTACACATACACACACACAGGCATGCACATATCAAAGTATGTACGCATACACACACACAGGCATGCACATATCAAAGTATGTACACGTACACACACACACACACCCACACACAGGCATGCACATATCAAAGTATGTACGCATACACACACACAGGCATGCACATATCAAAGTATGTACACATACACACACCCACACACAGGCATGCACATATCAAAGTATGTACACGTATGCACATAAATCTACATACAAATACATTCATATCCATACACATTCATCTACACATATCTATATTTGTCCATTAAGTATAAAGTATACATGCGTTTCATTTGGTCTATGGTGTGATGTGATTGAAGATCGTTGCCCAAACTGTTCCAGAGCCTGATTCCAGAAACAACAAAGCCTCTTTGTTTTAGTGACGTGCGGGTAAATGGTACACAAAAGTTTCCTTTCCTCCTGCTGTCTTCAGTGATTAAAATGAATTTCCTGTAAATGTGCTCAGGAACCAATTGATTTCTGATTTTCCACATGGCTAATATAGTTTTTAATTGAAAAAGATCTGAAAATTTTAAGGTGTTATGTTTAATGAAAAGATCATTGGTGTGGTCTCTTGGACCTTTGTGATTAATGATTCTTATTGCTTTCTTTTGGAGCAGGAAAACTGCTCCAAAAGAAGCATGAAGCAAGAACTCATGAGCAGCAGACCAGGCTTCATGGAAAATCAAGGTTTTTCAGCTTCTAACCAAGGAACAATGTCCTGGGGTTGTTTTTGGATCTAGACACTATATATAGGGACTTCTAGTGCAAACATGTAATTCCACTCTGTCTAAAAGCTCCTGTCTCAGTCCTGCGATAGTCTGATATCATTGTACCACTATGACATCACACTTTTTGTTTTATCAATACTTTCAGTCCTTTTTTGTTCAGGTGAAATGAAAAATCCAGCACCATTAGACTATAGACAGATGGGGCAATGCCTACCTAGCTAGAGGCATACGTACTAGCTCAATGCTAACCCTCAAGCTCAATGCTAACCCTCTAGCTCAGTGCAAACCCTCGAGCTCCATGGTGAAGTTTTGCTCCAACTCGCTCGGATGGCAGCATTGGGAGTTACAGTAGGATTTTTTGTCTTTGTTTTGCCTTCTCAGACACGTGTTTCCAGAGCCCCTGTTGGAATGGAGGAACCTGCATCGAAGAACATTCTGGAGCCTACAGGTGCATCTGTCTGCCGGGGTACACTGGAGACCTGTGCCAGTCTGGTAAGTGTGAGGACGACTGCTGAGTTCTATGAGAAGGCTAAAGTAAGAAAGATAAAAATGATAAAAATATAAATACAAAAATAAACTGGACTGGACTGGAAAGGGCTGGAGGCTAAGGCTGGACCAGAATATCCATCTAGAGGCAAAGTGAAATACTAGGTGATCAATAGGAAAAACAGGCGATTGTAGATCCAGGACTGAGACTATAGACCCAGGAATGAGGCTGTAGACCCAGGACTGAGGCTTTAGATCCAGGACTGAGGCTGTATTTCTCTCTCTCTCCTGTGTGTATTCAGACCTGGGTCAGTGTGAACCTTCCTGGGATAAGTTCCACGGCTCGTGTTTCCGTCACTTCTCCAGTCGTCAGAGTTGGGACGTGGCAGAGCAGCACTGTCGTATGTGCGGAGGTCACCTGGTGTCTGTGCTCACACCAGAGGAGCAGACATACATCAATGGTAACGGACCAATGCAGACTTTGAGAGACTTAGATTGACTTATAGAGACGTATAGAGACTCGGAGTAGAGTAGGACTGGTGGAAACAGGGCTTTAATGAAATTCATTTGAAAATTAAAACCAACTTTTTAAAGTACTAGCATATTTTTAGAATGACAGATTAACAAAATAAGTGAGTTTAGTTGTGTGAATCTGTCCCCACTATTGATGAACACAAGAATAGTTTATTTACAAAGTCATATAAGTACCATTAGTAAAACTTTGCTCTTTACCAAGTATAATTATTTAAAGCCAGATCTATGTTAGTGCCATTCGGGTAAAGTTTTCACCCTTTTGAAGCAAATTCCTTTCCAATTTCTTGCTGATAATAAAACATACTACAATTTTACAACATCTGTTTTTATAAATGAACTAAACTGCTTGGACTGTTTTCTTCAGGTGATACATTTATCTACAGATGACTATTGACGATTCAGAATCAATGACAAAGAGAGAGCAGCACCAAACAATCTCACACTGACTGGCAAAAGTGTACATGCAATACTATGTTAGACCACAAGGGGGAAGCAGAGCATTTCAATAATCACCTGCTGTTATCACTGCTGCTGACCTGAGAGGCTAGCCTACAGGACTGTGACTGGGTTTTGTTCAGATTCTTCTCTGAGATCAGCTCCTCAGTTTCCACCCGCACCTCAGAGAACGTCCTGAGGAATGTGGAGCTTACGGGAATTTCTGATCCTGCTTTAGATAAAACTGGGAAAGACACAACAACGTCTTTAAATACAGCAGCTCCTGAAGGTCTGAGGCTGTTATCGACTCGCATCAAGTCTGAGAATTCTGTATTATGTCTCACTTAATTAGCGCCCTTATGGTAATATTTAGGCCTATGCTTGAACTGAGAAAATATAAAAAATGAGGCTCTAGACCCAGGACTCAGGCTGTAGACCGCAGGACTGAGGCTCTAGATCCAGGACTGAGGCTGTAGACCCAGGACTGAGGCTCTAGATCCAGGACTGAGGCTCTAGATCCAGGACTCAGGCTGTAGACCCAGGACTGAGGCTCTAGATCCAGGACTGAGGCTGTAGACCCAGGACTGAAGCTCTAGATTCAGGACTGAGGCTCTAGACCCAGGACTCAGGCTGTAGACCCAGGACTCAGGCTGTAGACCCAGGACTCAGGCTGTAGATACAGGACTCAGGCTGTTGACCCAGACTCAGGCTGTAGATCCAGGACTCAGGCTGTGGACCCAGGACGAGGCTGTAGACCCAGGACTGAGGCTCTAGATCCAGGACTGAGGCTGTAGACCCAGGACTGAAGCTCTAGATTCAGGACTGAGGCTCTAGACCCAGGACTCAGGCTGTAGACCCAGGACTCAGGCTGTAGACCCAGGACTCAGGCTGTAGATACAGGACTCAGGCTGTTGACCCAGACTCAGGCTGTAGATCCAGGACTGAGGCTGTAGACCCAGGACTGAGGCGGTAGATCCAGGACTCAGGCTGTAGACCCAGGACTGATCTTAAGTTAGCTGTAGATTTACATTTGTATAGATGTTTATTTTAGACAACTCTAAGATTTTATTCTAATACGTTTTCCAGATAAGTTCAGAGAAGACCAGTGGATCGGCCTCAACGACAGAACTATTGAGGGAGACTTCCGCTGGTCAGACGGAAACCCTCTGGTCTGTGTGCTCTATGCAAAAATCCATGTCAATGTAAACATGTGACATCACGCCTGACTCTTTGGTCTGTCTGTGTGTGTGTCAGTTGTATGAGAATTGGTTCAAGGGGCAGCCCGACAGCTACTTCCTGTCAGGAGAGGACTGTGCGGTGATGGTTTGGCAGGACCAGGGCCAGTGGAGCGACGTGCCCTGCAACTACCACCTGTCCTACACCTGCAAGAAGAGTGTCTGTGAGTGTGTCTGTGTGTGTGTCTGTGTGTGTGTGTGTGTGCCCTGCAACTACCACCTGTCCTACACCTGCAAGAAGAGCGTCTGTGAGTGTGTGTGTGTGTGTGTGTGTGTGTGTGTGTGTGTGTGTGTGTGTCTGTGTGTGTGTGTGTGTGTGCCCTGCAACTACCACCTGTCCTACACCTGCAAGAAGAGCGTCTGTGAGTGTGTGTGTGTGTGTGTGTGTGTGTGTGTTTGTGTGTGTGGGTGTGTCTCTGTGTGTGTGAGTGTGTGTCTGTGTGTGTGTACCCTGCAACTACCACCTGTCCTACACCTGCAAGAAGAGCGTCTGTGAGTGTGAGTGTGTGTGTGTGTGTGTGTGTGAGTGTGTGTATGTATGTGTGAATAAGTGCATATGTGTGTGTCTTTGTCTCATACCATTGGTCTTATTGTTTGTATGTTTGATGTAGTGTCTGTGTGTGTGTGTGTGTGTATCTACTCTGTGTGTGTATCTCTGTGTGTGTCTATGTATGTATTTACATGCATGTGTGTAAATGTGTATATGCGTATGTGTGTGTCTCATACCATTGGCGTTATTGTGTGTGTGTCTTGGTCTTGTCATGTCTCACCGTGGATTTTTAAGCCCAAATCGGTGAGTGTGAGTTTACTCTTCAATGTCAGTGAATGGAGCCAGAGCCAAACTTCGTCCATGAGCGCTTCATTGAACCAATCAGCCTGGTCCATCTGTACCCAGTCTGTGATCTCCACTGCTCTCTGTGACGTACCGTGTGCTCTACAGCCTCCTGCGGGCCGCCTCCGCAGGTGCCTCACGCTCAGGTGTTCGGGAGGCGGCGTGTGCGCTACGAGAGCGGCTCCATGGTGCGATACTTCTGCACCGACGGCTTCATCCAGAGACTCAACCCCGTGGTCAAGTGTCTGCCCAGCGGACTGTGGGCGGAGCCAGAGGTCACATGTCTCCCAGGTCCGTCCAGGTCATGTAGCCGCACCTCTCTATCAAGCTCAGGGGTGTCCAACCTTTTTCAATCGGAGAGCCACTTGATAAATTGTATTTAATTACGTGGTAAAAAAGACCAAGTGCATAAAACAAAGGTCTGGAGACGGCGTTAGTTAAAAGGTTTTAGGCCTCAGACATGGTTTGAACACTGCAACAAACCAGAAAACAAATTGCATCCAAACAAGCAATAAAAAACTAAAATGGGAGATGAACAAACTGAAACTCACATGACGCTGATCCATCGCCTGGAGGGAAATGAAAGGGGGAAAAATAAGGCTTAAAATGGTGGATGGGTTTGAGGGAGAAAATAGAGGGAGAGAGCTACTACTTTTTACAGTCTTAATAAAAAAAATCTATCGAATAATTACAAAAACATGGAAAACACATGTAAAATATACCATAATACTGCATAAAACTATATTTATACTTATAACGAAAAAGTGATGACTCAAAATTCAAGATCATTCGTTAAATTCTAAATCCTTTGGCGAGCTACCTGAAGGGGGCTGGCCAAAGGATCCACAGGTGAGAGACCCTTAATCTTTCTAGATCATGAGAACATGTAAAAATGTAGTCTATCTATTAATCATGTTTTATATTTACTCCTGAAATCATCCTTTTGGCAGCTACTTTGACAAAGGGGTTGAGCTATTGGTATCACTTAAGAACGTCAAAATGTTCTTTAATCAAGATCTGACTATTTTTTGTTGCGTGGTGTGAAAGGAGAAGTTAGAAATTGCCCATATTTGGCTGAATTGATTAGAGAACATGCCGTCGGTCTTAAAACAAGATTTGCCAAATGAGCAGTAGTATATTTGCTTAATCTGTGCTGGTGGCAAGACTAAGGCTCTTTATTCTATCGTTTTAAAAATGTCAATAACATAGGAAACAAGGAAAACGCTTGGAGACCCCTGATCTAGACCAAACTTTGACTTGTTTTATGTTGTTTTTCAGCTTCTGCACAGACGAGGAGAGAGGCCTCCGTCACCAGATCGTCCGCCGCTGAGAGCACGACTCAGAAACTGGCTTCGTAGTCTCCACGACGCAAGACCTGGAAAAAGAGTTGATGGTCTTCCACTGTATTTAAATGCAATAACTGCTGCACTGAATCTAGATGAGTCTAATTATAGGAAGCTTCAATGGACATTCTCCAGAAATTAGGTGTTTTTTCTGACGATACCGTGGTCCCTGGTTTATGGCGGGGGTGGTGTGTTCTAAAAAATAACCCGCAATTAGGGAAATCCTTTAAGTATTAGAGTATTTTTGGCAACCACATACAAACTTCACCCACACACGTATTCAAACCAGGGGTCTTCAACTCAGTTCTCAAAGCTCTGGCACGGCTGCAGGTCTTCATTCCAACCAAGCAGGAGCCCACCAGTCACCACCTGTTTCCTCAAGTGTGTCCAGTCTGGACCTGAAGACTTTTGAGGCTTGGTTGGTATGAAAACCAGAAGCAACGCAACCCTTTGAGGACCAAGTGGAAGACCCCTGATATAAACAGTAAATAACTATAACGTTCTCTGGAGGTTTTCAGCTTTGACATTTGAGAATAACTTGTATCGCCTTTTTTGCAGTTGTCAAAATAAAAAAAACAATACACACAGATATCAGACACGACTCTTAAAATACCGCTGTGGTGTTAACACGTCTTTATTCTGTTATGATTGTTTGTTTAGTAAAGCTGTTGCTTATGGCAACAGTTGCATTTGGTCCCCTCTTCCACATGTACTGAATAAATGCAGTGTTGTGAAGAAGTGTGTGTTTTGTGCACGTGTGTGTGTGTCCATCAACTCTGACACTCTTCTCTGACCCTGCTGAAAAAAACAGCCCTAAAACATTACATAACAGCATATTCCACGTACTCCCATTGGAGAGAGAATAATATCAATGAAACGGGATGCTCGTCCAGACTAGGGATGGGAACCTTGGGTCTCTGTCCGATTCGATTTATATCTCGATACACTTGTCACGATCCGATTCATTAAAGTTTCACCATCTAAACCCACCGATACGATGCAATTCAATTAAGTATTTTATCACGATGCATCTCGATTCCAGTTTGCCATCTTCTAAAGCTAACTGCGATTCGATTTTCACACTTACCATGATACCCAACATTTTTACTCAATTAATTTGGTAAACAATTTTAGTTATTTCAAATGAATAAAGCAAAAAAGTAAATGAAAGAATTTATTAGCCAAATAAATCCAAGGCATTTCAAAAATGGCCATATTCTTCAAAATATTACAAAGTGACATTGCAAGGTGCCAGAAAAATATTAACAGTACATTCAAATGTTGACTAAATAGAACACAATGCACTGTGATTAACAGTGACATATTAGTCCTTCCTTAAAACTGTAACTTCAAGTAGAACTTAAAAACAAAGTGCCAAGAACATACTACTTTGTGTCCATTTAAACGTTTAACATGGCCATGCTGTCATAATTAAACTACATGTTCTTGTTTGAGGTTGGTTTTCAAAAAGATTAACTGATCTACGTGGTCTGGGTGCAGAAAACTGCGTTTGGCGTTTATTATTTCACCTGCTGTGCTAAAAACCCGCTCACACGGTACACTAGTGCCAGGTATGGAAAAATAACTTTTTGCCAAAGCTGAGAGAAGAGGAAGCTCCACTTGTTTGTTTCCACCACTGCAACACATTACCCTCCAAACTTAAAGTTTCCCTCTCCCTATACGTTAAGATTTCCTCCTTAGCTCTGTCCTGAATGGTCTTCTTCTGCACCCTCTGACACTGCAGATCTCCAAACATCTGGTCCAGTGCGGTCTTCTTCTTAGGAGGTGAATGATCTATGATTAGAATAGACACAAAAGAGATACATTGGGTAAATAACAATATAAAGGAGATGAAAAAAACCAAAACAATTAATCTTCAGCATTCAAACATCTATCATACCTGTATCATCTTCTTCACTTTTTGGGCTCCTGTTGTCCTCTTCAGCTGGCACATTTTCATCCAAAACCTCAAATCACAATTTATTTATTTATTGGACAAAAGTACTGTGTTTTGCCTTGCTTAGTACTTAGTGCTTACCATATCACTCATCTTCAACACTGATGTTGTAATGTTCATGAAGACCATGTCTTTGGTGGTGTCACTGTCGTCCAAGAATGACAAGCCTTTGAAACGTGGGTCGAGTGCTGATGCTGAGTAGAGAAGATCTTGAAGATAGTTGTAACGGGCAGAAAAATCTTTTGTAAACTGTTCCTTCATTTGGGTGATGATGAGCAGGTCACTGTCATTTGGCAGAAAATGCATCTTCAGTTTTGCCTGTATTGGAGCAATCATGGAGAGAGTGGGGTTTTTTTCTTCACTGAGAAGTACAGTAGCAACTTTTAAGGGCGCCATCAACTTGATGATCTCTGGAATTAAGATCATGTCACCTTCTGTGAGTGTGGCGAGAGCTTCTCCTCTCTTCAGCTTCTTAGACAACAAGGCATTTAACACAGCAGGTTGCTGTTCCCAAAAGCGTTCCAGCATATCCAGGGGACTATTCCATCTAGTGGATACATCATGGATGAGTTTATGGATGGGCAGCTGCAACTGTATTTGTGTCTCATGCAGTATTTCAGTGGCTTTGGGGCTCTTGTGGAAAAAGGTGACCAGCCTTCTCACCTTCAGCAGGATTTGTGAAACGTCCTCCACTTTGAAAGCTTTTTGTGAGGCCAAGTTGAGCCTGTGTGCAATACATCTCACGTGTGGGTCCAGCTCAGCTTGAGCACCAGCTAATAGCATATTTCTAGCATTATCACTGACCAAAGCTGGGTTTTTGTCCTCCAACTTCCACTCCTGACACACATCTCGCAGTAAGGCCGCTAGATTGATCCCCGTGTGCGACTCGTTAAACACTCTGGTCTGTAAGACGTGGCTTTGAAAAGACCAAGCCTCATCCACATAGTGCACCGTAACTGTAATGTACGAGTCTGTTGCGCAAGACGTCCACCCATCCACAGTTAACGCAACTCTCTGGGCTCTCTGTAATGATTCCATTATCTCCCGTTTCACTTTCTTGTACAAAGCAGGTATTTCTTTCTCCGCAAATAATTTTCTGCATGGAATTTTGAACAGCGGCTCCAAAATGTGAAGCATGTATTGGAAACCCTCGTTCTCCGTCACGCTGTACGGCTGCAAAGCTTTACAAATGAAGTAAGTTATGGCGTCCGTGACAGCTTTGGCACGGGTAGAATTCGAAGCAAGCGGTCCATTAAAAAACTTTGAAATGTTGGGCTCACCGCATGAGACGGGCTCGGAACTAGCCTCCGCCACCTCAATGTTTATGTTGTGTCGCCGTTTCACGTGGGCTATAAGGTTCGTTGTGCTGCCGGTGTACTTAATGGCAGCGTTGCAAAGTTTGCAAATAGCATTAGATTTGTCAAGCTTCCCATCTCTCTTGTAAAATCCATAGTGCTGCCAAACCTTTTATTTGTAGTTCGCTGGTGAATATATCCGATTGTGCTCCTGTGATTCCATGTTGTTGTGTTAACAGCCAGCTGGTGCTAACACCTCCCCACAATCCACTGCACCCCTCTCCACAATCCACTGCAAAAAGGTGAAGTTGTGAAACTATTTAGTTTTGATTGAATCCATAAATGTCATAAATCGCAATTTACTGATGCAATAGTCTGAAATCCGGTGTACTCTAAAATTGTTATCTTACATGAATCGATCTGTGGCTGCTTTTGCAGGTGGACTTGCATCGCGCATGCGCACGTCCGTGTATCAATACAAATCGGTGTATCTTCCCATCCCTAGTCCAAACCTATGACTGGGCTGAGACCTGTTGATTATCACAGCAGAACCTGCAGGGGGCACTCACGTGAATGTCCTGAACACAGACAGTCCTGCATGAGCTCCAGCGGCAGCAGAGTTCTCAAGTCATGCACCTGCGACAACATAAATGTTATTATTAGTTTATTACAGAAACAACATTGTGATTAAACATTATACAGGGTAAAAAAAAAAAGGACATTATCAAAGATAAGTCACTCTGGGCGCATGTTACTATGTTGCTATGACGACGGTTGCTATGTTGTCATGGCAACCCAGCTTACCTTTATGATGTCATTCTAGTGTTTTGGCTTTAAAAGTTTAGCTCAGAGAGATGTAAACAGGCTAGTGAATATCTGTTCTACAACAGTGTATTATTTTACCACATTTAAGAAACAGAAGCAAACACAGACAACATGCAGCGTGGACTCCCCAGTGAAGTCCACAAGACTGACCTGTCCCTCCTGTACGAGCTGGCCTGTCTGCACCACCTGCAGCTGCAGTTTACTGAGATGGGAAAAGAAGGCCCTTGCCATGCACCGACTTTCCACTTACAGCTGGTAGTGGGGGACCTGGTGGGATTTGGTGCCGGCCCCACCAAACAAAATGCCAAGCTAAGTGCAGCTAAGGTGGTGTTGCATCAGCTGAAGAAGCGTCCTTTACCAGAGGATGTGACTCCATACTGGTCCAAACCCCACATGGAGCTGGTGGACCCATCACAGCGGGTTTACTTCTTTTACAAGAAAGACCCCATCAGTGCCTTGACAGAGATCCTGATGGTGCGGAAGCAGAGGCCGGCCGAGTACAAGGTGGTCCGCTTCAAACACCGTGGCTACAGTGCATCAGAGTTCTGTATTGAGGTCAGGGTGGACCAAAGGACATGTCAGGGTGTAGGTCCAAACAAGAAGGCGGCCAAACTGGAGGCCGCAGAGGCGATGCTGCACATGATGGGGTTCAAAGAGCAGATGGAGCTGGACAACCCTCACCTGTCGCCCTCTGAGGAGCTCCTCTTCCAGCAGAGGGTCTTCAAACTGCGAGAGACAGAGAAGCTCCAGGCCAGGCAGGCGCTTAAAGCTACTGTTGCCCCAGCCCAGAGAGACACACATACGTCCCAGAGTGAGGGTTCCCCACCGGCCCTAAAGGAGATCATCCCAGAGGTCCCTGTCTCTGAGGAACCAATCAAAGAGGACCCTGTCTCTAAGGAACCAATCCCAGAGGTCACTCTCTCTAAGGAACCAATCCCAGAGGTCACTGTCTCTGAGGAGCCAATCAAAGAGGAGCTTGTCTCTGAGCAGCAAATCCCAGAGGTCTCTATCTCTAAGAAACCAATCCCAGAGGTCACTGTCTGAGGAACCTAAGGAACCTATCCCAGAGGTCACTGTCTCTGAGGAACCAATCCCAGAGGTCACTGTCTCTAAGGAACCAATCAAAGAGGAACCAATCAAAGAGGAACCAATCAAAGAGGAACCAATCCCAGAGGTCACTGTCTTTGAGGAATCAATCCCAGAGGTCACTGTCTCTGAGGAACCAATCCCAGAGGTCACTGTCTCCAAGGAACCAATCAAAGAGGAACCAATCCCAGAGGTCACTGTATCTAAGGAACCAATCAAAGAGGAACCAATCCCAGAGATCACTGTCTCTAAGAAACCAATCAAAGAGGAACCAATCCCAGAGGTCACTGTCTCTAAGGAACCAATCAAAGAGGAACCAATCCAAGAGATCCCTGTCTCTAAGAAACCAATCAAAGAGGAACCAATCCCAGAGGTCACTGTCTCTGAGAAACAAAACCCAGAGGTCACTGTCTCCGAAGAACCAATCCTAGAGGTCACTGTCTCTAAGGAACCAATCAAAGAGGAACCAATCCCAGAGGTCACTGTCTCTGAGGAACCAATCCCAGAGGTCACTATCTCTAAGGAAGCAATCCCAGAGGTCACAGTCTCTGAGGAACCAATCCCAGAGGTCACTGTCTCTAAGGAACCAATCAAAGAGGAACCAATCCCAGAGGTCTCTGTCTCTAAGGAACCAATCCCAGAGGTCACTGTTTCTAAGGAACCAATCAAAGAGGAACCAATCCTAGAGGTCACTGTCTCTGAGAAACCAATCAAAGAGAAACCAATCCCAGAGGTCACTGTCTTTGAGGAACCAATCCCAGAGGTGCCTGTCCCTGAGGTTCTAGCCCCTGAGGATCTAGTCCCTGAGGATCTGGTTCAGACCCTCTGTGCTGTGCCCCCCACTTCTCCGGAGCAGGACAGTCGAGTGGATCTTCCATCGTCCCTGGACTCAATCTCTTCTCTTGACCTTGTGAGTCTGAAGCAGGACCGTAACACACCTGAGGTTTTCCAAGTATCTCCAGCTACAGAAACTCCAAACCTCCAGAACTTTCACAGTCCTTCAGAAACTGTCAGTCCACCAGAGAAAACCCTCCCACCAGAGACACAGGACGTCAGCTCCGATGCCGCTCACTTCATGGTTTCAACGATGATCCGAAAGCTCTTGGACAAATCCCCCGTGTCCCTGGACATTAGGGAACAAGGAAAAGTTATTTTGCGACTGCGTGAGGTGGGGCGAGGAGTCTCCATGCCCCAGGGAACAGACCTGAAGACCAAAGATCTCAAAGCCATAGCTAAAGAGGGGGCGAGAAGTCTCCGGGAAGAGATGGGACCCACCTCCTCACCCCTGCTCCAGAGTGACTGGTTTGTGGAGGCAGCGGTGAGACATTTGAACTTCCACCTGAAAGACTTCAGTGACGAGGACAGAGGCCGACGACCGGGACACTGCTTCTCTCGAGTGTTTAAGATGTTCAGGACCAGGAGGAGCAGAGTGTCGCCTGGTCCTCTGAGAGCATACCTCAGATCAGCATCTTAAGAGCACATTACTCCTGCCTGAGGTCACCTTCACTGACTGTAGGAGGGCACAGCAGAAGGGCTGGGAACAAAACAAAACATAATGAAGACAAAAAACAACAAGCATGAAAAAAAAAAAAAAAAACAATAAAAAAAATGGTTGAATTAATAAAATTCAATAAAAATGGGGGAAAATAAAAACACATCGAAATTTAAAAATCAAATTGGGAAAAACAAGACTTATTTAAATATCATATGGCATAATGTTAGAATGCAGATTTTTATGATATGCCTTTAGCTTTCAAGAACTCAATAAAATAAAATAATAGGGGGGGGGGGGGGGGGTTATCTTATTGACTTAAATAATCACAACCAAATTGGGAAATACAAGGCTGAAACAAAACCTTGGTATAGCTTAAGAATGCCAATTTTTAAGAAATGCGTTGGGCTTTGTTATAAAATAAAACTAATTGGAATGCGTGGGGGGAATAAAAAATGAAATAAAAAATATAAAAGTGTCTCCTGTTTCTTATTTTATATATACGTTCATTCATTTTCAACCCCTTTATTTGTCGATTTCTGGGTCGGGGGGGGGCTACAGCCAATGCACAGGTGGTGAGTGCACAGGAAGATGGCTGCTACATCAGTGGTACCGCAGCCTTGGCAATGTGGGGTTAAGAGTCTTGCCCAAGGACACAACGACAGCAGACATTAGTGGGAGCAGTTTAAGTAGGTCCTGTGATGGGCACCTGAACCTGGTGAAGGTCCAGGGCCTCCACTCTCTTTTGGGTCCAGTGTCGCCCCCTGTGGCTCACTGCTCCTGGTGCAGACGACTCCTTGGATGGTGCTTCTTATGCCGCGTTCAGACCGGATCATGCGTTGCGGCGACTTTCAATGCAAAGTCATTGATGACGCTCGTTCAAGCGTGGAACTGCATGTGCGTCTCACACACGGACTGCGAAGCAGAGGCGCAGGAGCAGAAAATCGACGCACACAGAAGATAAACATTGCTGAATGTTTCCTCGAGACGCTCGTGCAGCGACCAATCAGAGAGCGGTCACGGGGACATTAGCGAGCAGACTAAACATACTGTAAAAACAGGAGCTACACCAGGACTAAACCAGGACTAAACCAGGACTAAACCAGGAATAAACCAGGACTAAACCAGGACTAAACGGGGGACATAGTGCTTGTGAGCATATGCGTTGTCATGCTCCTGTGACTTTATGCAACTGCTTCGAGTGTGTTTGTTGATGCGTAAGTGCCGTTTAATAATAAAATAAACTTATTGCGCAGCTCCGTGAACACATACTGCTGTTATATAAAAGTCACCTCCGTGAACACATACTGCTGTTATATAAAAGTCACCTCCGTGAACACATACTGCTGTTATATAAAAGTCACCTCTGTGAACACATACTACTGTTATATAAAGTCACCTCCGTGAACACATACTACTGTTATATAAAGTCACCTCCGTGAACACATACTGCTGTTATATAAAGTCACCTCCATGAACACATACTACTGTTATATAAAGTCACCTCCGTGAACACATACTACTGTTATATAAAGTCACCTCCGTGAACACATACTGCTGTTATATAAAGTCACCTCTGTGAACACATACTACTGTTATATAAAGTCACCTCCGTGAACACATACTGCTGTTATATAAAGTCACCTCTGTGAACACATACTGCTGTTATATAAAGTCACCTCTGTGAACACATACTGCTGTTATATAAAGTCACCTCTGTGAACACATACTGCTGTTATATAAAGTCACCTCTGTGAACACATACTGCTGTTATATAAAGTCACCTCCGTGAACACATACTACTGTTATATAAAGTCACCTCTGTGAACACATACTGCTGTTATATAAAGTCACCTCTGTGAACACATACTGCTGTTATATAAAGTCACCTCTGTGAACACATACTGCTGTTATATAAAGTCACCTCCGTGAACACATACTACTGTTATATAAAGTCACCTCTGTGAACACATACTGCTGTTATATAAAGTCACCTCCGTGAACACATACTGCTGTTATATAAAGTCAGCTCCGTGAACACATATTGCTGTTATATAAAGTCAGCTCCGTGAACACATACTGCTGTTATATAAAGTCACCTCCGTGAACACATACTGCTGTTATACGTATAAAGTCACCTCCGTGAACACATACTGCTGTTATATAAAGTCACCTCCGTGAACACATACTGCTGTTATATAAAAGTCTGTGAAGTTCTCAGACACAGAGACGCTGCAGAGCCGCATTCTTGGAGAAGAACTTCACACAAAAAGCCGCTAGCTTAACTCCGTTAGCATCACAGTCCGCCCGCTACTTCCGCCACTTCCGACGGGAGCCACCGCAGCCCAGGACTTCTGGTGTGAAGACCCCTGCGGCTGAAAACTAGAGAATGTGCGTCCGGTGCACGTTGGCGGTCTGAACGCACCATTAGGCCTGTTACACCTGCTCCCAGCCCTATTTTTATCACAGTTTTACCTATTTAACCCATCTGATGTGACTTTCTGTGTGTGTGTGTGAGTGTGTGTGTGTGTGTGTGTGTGTGTGTGTGTGTGTGTGTGTGTGTCTACATGACCCTCACTGTCTATGATGTACTTGTTAGAGAGTGTAGTGTGAGAGACCATAGAGAGAGAGAGAGCGTGATCAAGGAGAGAGACCAGAGACCAGGGAGAGAGACCACACAGACAGACCAGAGAGAGAGACCAGGGAGAGTCATGTGAACTAATCACAGCAGTGCGCCCTTTAGATACAGAAAAAAACATGTTCATTACTCCTAAATTAAAACCCGTCACATTGACTGCTCTGGGAGTTTTAGATTTGAACTATTTCCCAGTAAATCACACAGAACCTTCAAACCAAAGTACCTACGGGAGTTCATATAATATTTCTTAAATAGCTGACAGCAAAATGGAACGACAAACTGGATGCTCTAGTCTGGATTTATTACCGTTAGAAAAGATAAAGAGGCATCTTTCATTGGAAAGTGATGTCACATGTTCATGATATCATTTAAACAAAACAACACTAGGACATCGCAGATTATATATATTATTTTGTTTTTATAGATGTATACACAAATAATAATATGGACAAAAGTATCACACATGTCGGTAAGAACTGTAATTTACATGTTGTTAATGTAAAACCACAACACAATGATTCACATGATCTTGAAGTTTATACATAATACTGTGAAACTTAGAGAATTAGAATATTGCCTCAGTCCTGGGTCTACAGCCTCAGTCCTGGGTCTACAGCCTCAGTCCTGGATCTACAGTCTCAGTCCTGGATCTACAGCCTCAGTCCTGGATCTACAGTCTCAGTCCTGGATCTACAGCCTCAGTCCTGGATCTATAGCCTCAGTCCATACTCTTATCTGTTGTTGAAGAATCTGAGACGACTGCTGTTGTGATTTAGGGCTATAGACAAATACGCTGAATTGAATTGAATATTGCTGATAATTGGCTCACAAAAAAAAATCTCTAAATTAACTGTAAAAGCCGGAATCATCTTCATTGTAGAAAGTATAAAAGCTTGGCATATATCACTCTGTATGTAATGGGTCTTTATCATATGGTTTCACAATTAAAGTTAAAATACAGAAATAAATAAACTTTGAAAGATGCTAATTCTCAGAGTTTCACCTGTGTTTCACCACACAGACTCAAACCCGCTCACTCCCTGTAGCAGTAAGCTCCGTAATGATGCACCCTTGGGTCCGGGAAGCCGAAGAAGCGCACCCCGGCTTCTGCGCCCCCGCCACAGCGCCCCCTGGGGTTGCTGATGGGGAAGCGCACACTGCCGTCCCGCAGCCAGCCCCCGTCGCACTGGTCCAACTGGTGAAAGTGCCACGCGGAGTACATCTGCCCCACGGCCGCCAGCTGCGCTCCCTGCTCTGCACACGCCACGGTGGCCTGCGACGCGGAGAGCGAGCCACGGACGTAGAACACGGATCCTGCACAAGAAGAAGAGAAGAAGAAGACATGGGAACAGCTGTGAAAGTCAATGGACCAGTCTGTAGTCTATATATGTGTATATTGGGAGTGTGTGACTGTTGAGTTAGCGTCTGCAGTAAAACCACATTGGAATACTTGTGCAAATGTCCCCAGTGTGCAACAAATACACAAATATATAACTAAAACAAGCTAGACATTAAGAGAAACAATTGTCAATGTGAAAATAATCAACAAAAAACAGCTTCAATACTAGTTAGTTCAGACTGATTACAGCTTGTAGAAAAAGGAATTGCAGCCAACGATCTTCTGCCAGAGGGAAGAAGCTGGAACATGGCTTCTCCAGGGACCAAAAGAGTTGAAGAGCTGGGTTTAAGAGTCTGGATTCATAAAGGACCTCCAGAACAGGCAGCTCACTGTCCTCTGTCAGGGAGGAGCACCTCTCACGGGTCTCTCTCTCTGGACTCTCTGGTCTCTCTCTAGTCTCAATCTCTAGTCTTTTACTGGTCTCTCTCTCTGGTCTCTCTCTCTGGTTTCTCTCTGGTTTCTCTTTGGTCTCTTGCTGGTCTCTCTCTCTCTGGTTTCTCTCTGGTCTCTCTCTGGCCTCTCTCTAGTCTCTCAGTCTATAGTCCTCTGCTTATCCACAGAACCCAAAAAAAAAAAAAACATTTCTCACCGGCTGCCAGCGAGGTGAAGCAGAAGGCGTCAAAGTGGTCGTGGTTCTTGTCCTTGGGGCCATAACTGCGAACCCCAGGCTGCATCCCGCCCCCGCAGGCCGCTCGAGGCTGGATGATGGGGTACTGCACCGTCCCATCCAGGAGCCAACCAGCGTTACACCAGTCCAGACCTGCTGTCCATGCTGCAACACAACACAGGTTTCAGTCTGGGAAATGTGTGTGTGTTTTTGGAAGGTGCTGAGCGACCTCTGTAGAGCTGGTCGAACGTGGCCAGAGTGGCGTCATTCTCAGCGCACGTTTCCTGTGCCGCCCGGAAGGTGAACTTGTAGCGGCCATGTTTGCTCTGATACGGAAACACCAATCCTGAAAGCAGCACAGCAGATCAGAACGGCCCCACACAGACTTTTCTATGCTTTAATCATCATCAACAGTTGTTCTTTGTCAATGCAGGAGTCTGGACACTAAAAGGACAGTAGTGATGATCCAGGACACTCAACGTTTACAAATATTTATGGACATTGGTCTCTTTTATGGACCAATTGCTCTGTGTGTTTTTTATCATCGTATTCTAAGTGTTTGAACTGTTGTATTCTCTGATCTTTCTTGGTGAATTCTACGGCTTTGTTAAAAGAGCAGTATATACACATCTGGCCAAAAGTGGTACTGCAGCCTCTCCCACTCTCCCTGACTCAGGTTGCCAGATATGCAGACGAATCCAGCTGGGACCATAACAGCTGAATAGACAAGAGTTTGATCAACAACAAATCTATAACCAACACCTTTTTCACAAAGATAGAAATCCTGGTTTTATTCCTTGTTTTGTCGTTAATGATTTGAGACCTTTTTTAGTTCTGGTACTTTACCAGTGAGATTAGCTTGACTCTGTGAGTTCTGGCAACCCGGATCACAGACTTTCTGATTGGTGAAACGGTGGAGGGCGGGACATCAAAATGAAAACAAGAACAAGATTTTGGGGCTGAGAAACTAATTCAGAAATTCAAATATCGCTGAACTGTTATAAATTAAAGAAGTATTTGAAAAGAGCATGTTTTATTAATTACTTTTGACAGATTAGGGCCCTTTAATGATGACTGGACATGACAATCTTACATATTGCTACTTTAAGTCCTCCGGGATATACTGTTGTGATTTAGAGCTATACAAGGATAAACTGTATTGAATATTTGGCCTTCATACATGTGCCCATTTAGTCAGAGGTGCAAAAATCCATCTCCAGGGTAAGGGTTAGTAGTGATTGACAGGAGGGAAATCAATGGTGCGTATTTGGCAGATGACCAATGTCCATAAATGTTAATCCATGTCCATAAAATCGCTGAATGCCATCATAGTTGCCACTGACATCTCAAAACACATATTTTGTACCCTCAGACACTGATTCCAACTCAACTCGCTCACTCACCTTCAATGCTCAAAGTGACGACCACTCTCTCGTCGTGGAGGCCGTCGATGAGCTCGCAGCTGTAGCGTCCGCCGTCCTCCAGGGTCACATGACTGATCTGCAGAGACACATCCATGACGTGGGCGTTCCGTGGCGAGGCGCGCTCTCCCAGACGCCCGTACGGTCTGTAGCCGTGAGCGCCCAGAATCATGACCACGTTCTGTTTCCCCGTCGGCTCCGGCTCCAGCTTGGTCCATTTGACTTTGTAGTTCTTGGGCTTGTGCTTCAGTAAACAGGGGAGGGTCACGTTGTCCCCTCTGCGGCCGGAGACTTCGGCAAAGACCGGTGGTTCTATGAGGTACTGCAGCTCTTTGGTCTCTGGAAGAAACAAAGGAACAGGGAATCATCTCTACAAAGTTCTCTACAGGTTCGACACATTTCATTAGTTGAGGCGGTTGCAATACCAGCAGTTTACTATGTTAAAAGCAGACCTGCACATTGGTACCCATGCATTCATCTCAAGTAGGTTAGACTTCTGTGTCTCTCTCTGGCCTGGAAATGCCTCAGGATTCCCCCAGAAGGGCTGGAGAAAGTGTGTGTGTGTGTAGAGGGAGGTCTAGTCTCCGCTTAGACTGCAACGCTCTATACCGGGCAACGGATAAAGCGAAAGACAATGGATGGATAGATGGATGGAAGTTTTAACTCAGGTAGCAGGTCTCACAATATTCAACAAAGTTTTAAGTTAGATATAGGATGTCTTTGACTCGATCGCAGTGTGGTGATCGAGAGGTTAAAAAGAGGAGTCCGAGGCAAAATGGACTGCCTACGCGTTTAACAATAGTTCTGAATTGCACAGAACAAACAGCTATTTCTTGTTAAAAGTACAATTTGAAAGCTTTCATGTAGAGGCTTCAAACTCTGGTATTCGCACAAAGAGGGAGACAGATGACTGAAATCTTTTGAAATATTTAAAGTATGTAATGAAGTCTATTTGCTAATTACCAAAGCATCACAACCATGTAAACCGTACCTGTTTGTAGAGGAGCAGAGATGACCCAAGACAAGTTTGATATGAGGAGAACGACCCCAACAGACCTCATCATCGGCGTCCTGTAACAAAAGCAGCTTAACAACAGTTCACACAAAGAAACCCCTTTGTAAATACACTACAACTACCTTTCATGGGCTCTGGCTTCTGTCTGCGGGACCCGTCCTGTAGTGTCCTCTCCGGGGAATCCTCATTTTGATTGAGAGTGTGTTTTTCGTCGGTGGTTCCTGGATGGGCATGTGTCATTGTGGCTCCATCTGTGAGAAATCTGTCCTCTGTCCTCAGTTCTCTGCCCTCAGTCTCAGTCCTCAGTCCCCAGTCCTCTGCCCCTGCTCCCGGGTCAAACGGTGCAGAGCTCGTAAACAACATGTAAATAGCTCCGGCTGGATCGTCCCACTGCCATCTGACTCCTACTTCTATCACTGCACGTTTGGACTCATTAGGAGAAAATAAATACAATACACTACAATCAAACAAGTGGCTTAGAAAACAACAGCCAAAACCCTAATCATTTAATCATTTTTATAATAATAGTTCTGAAAACGCAGAACTTGATTAGTGATTGTTTGAAACTGTCCATACGAGGGGAAGACCCCGGAAGAATGTTGAAGGGACAGTGTCTCTCTGTGGTCTTCATGCTTTTGTTTCCTTCTTCAGATAAAGCTCTGACCTTTTCCAATCAGAGAGCTACTGTTATTTACCAGAACAGTCTAATAATCTCTGTAATAATTATGCCAAGAGACAAGACACATGGAGAACACATGTAAAATATACTGAAACACTGTATAACCCAATATTTATGACTTAGAATGTCATGGGTTGAATTCTAAAGTCTTCGGGGAGCTACGGGGCTGGTGAGCTACTGGTTGCTCCCAAGCCAGAGGATACTTCAAATTATATTACTCCATCCAATATGTGTCCGACAAAAACACATTTATTAGATGACTTGCCGGTGCAGGACGGTTTAAGGACAGCGGCGATGATCCAGGACCGTCCACATTCAACATGTCGAAAAATGGGCAGAAGAGACTTAGACGGGATCTCCAGCAGAAATGCCTCTGGGCCTTTAGTTCAGTTGCCTCGGTTTTTTCAGACAGAATGAAGACAGAGAAACCATTTGATTAGTTTTAGTTTATTATTATTTCTCACATACACATTATTTGCAGTGAGATTCTTACAGTAGATGTACCTCCAGCAGATGTTCAGGCCAGTATTCGGAAAACACACAATGACAGAATAAAAACCACACACAACAGAGACAGAGTTAGGCCAACTTTAGTGGGTTTAGTTTTATGGCTCCAGGGAATAAACTCCTTCTCATCCTCCCAGTATTAGTCTTGAGGAGACGATGACAATTTGCGTTACAACAAAGAAGCCAATCCACAGGTGTTCTATATAGTTAAAAAAACAGAGATATGACTGAAGTCGCCGTGAGATTAACCCTTTAATGGTTTCCAGTCACTATTCGAGTTAGTGTGTCTATATCTATCTACATCTACTTGAAACCTGGAACTGAAATTGACCTCATTGGGGCATCTCTATCACTTGGTTTTAGGCACTTTCAAACTGCATCTCAACCATTTGGCACAAAAAATATGGATAAAAAAAAAATAATCCCCATTATTAGAGCTACATCATCTTATAAAATCAAAAACATAATTTCTTTCTTCAAGGACTGAATATTAAAAGCCTGATCACTTTTATGGACATTGGTCATCTGCCACTTATGGACCAATGGCTCTATGTTCTAAAGTGATTTGAATGAAAATGAATTGAAGAAGGAAACAAAACTTTTTGAACTAAAGTTATACAATAACATGGATTTACTCCGCCTATAAGCACACGTGTAGTAGATACTTCCTCTCTGCATATGGTAGGATACAGTAACAGCCTGTCTCTCTTCCCTCTCTCGCCCCTGACCCACAACAAGCCTCTGTGTACTCTCCTTTCCCATGAGCGCCGTTGCCAACAGCGTGGACCATAGCGAGCATTCAGCCGTGCCGCTCATACCCACAGAGGAAGCTCCAGTTTCCCGGGGCACAAGGAGCTTCTTTGTGAGCGGTGACAAGAGGCAGCGGTCACACAAACAGGACGCAACGCGGGAAAAACATAAAATAATAGCAGCGCTCAGCTTGTGCCCGCGCCGCCTCCCCATTGTCCGCAGACATCAATGGAGCTCTGTCTGCTCCGCAATTAGCATTCAGCAAATTAGCATTCGGCAAAGTTAGCATTCCGCTAAAACACCTAAGAGAGGACAACAGCTGACTGTGCTCCAGGGAGAAGTGTCCGGGAGGAGAGAGAGACGACTGTACGTTTAACAAAGCACGTTTGGAAGCTTCCCTCTCCTCCTTTCATGTTTTCCAATGGGGTTTTACTGCAAGTGGCAAATTAAATTAATCTGAATCTTCTCTCTCTCTCCTCCTCTCTCTTTCTCCTGGAGTGGACATCTGCACATTCAACTCAAAGTATTTTTGAAAGCTTCCCTCTCCTCCTCCTCTCCCTCTCTCCTCTCCTCTCCTCTCTCTTCTCCTCTCCCTCTCTCTGCTCCTCTCTCCCTTCTCCTCTTGCTCTCTCTCTTCTCCTCCTCTCCCTCTCTCTCATCCTCCTCTCCCTCTCTCTCTGCTCCCCTCTCTCCTTTTCCTCCTCCCTCTCTCCCCTCCTCTCTCTCTGCTCCTCTCTCTCTCTCTCTCCCCTCTCTCCTCCTCTCTCTCTCCCCTCCTCTACCTCTGCTCCTCTCTCTTTCTCCTCCTCTCCCTCTCTCTCTGCTCCTCTCTCTCTCGTCCTCCTGTTGCTCTCTCCTCCTCCTCTTTCTTCTTGTCTCTCTCTCTCTCTCCTCCTCTCCCTCTGCTCATCTCTCTCCTCCTCCTGTTGCTCTCTCCTCCTCCTCTCTCTTCTCGTCTCCTCTCCTCTCTCTCTCCCTTCCTCCTCTCCCTCTCTCTCTGCTCCTCTCTCTCCTCCTCCTGTTGCTCTCTCCTCCTCCTCTCTCTTCACCTCTCCTCTCTCTCTGCTCTTCTTCCTCCCTCTCTCTTTCTGCTCCTCTCCCTCTCTCCAGTGTATTCTATAAAAAGAGGACACCTTTGGAAGCTTCCCAAAAGCTGTTGCAGTTTAATAAGATTGTTAGTAACTTTTAGAATTATGTGTTTATTTGTTTCTTTGTTTGGATGTGTTTCTGCTTCTGGACATCTGCATTTCTCCAACGGGATCCATAAAGTATCGATCTATTTATCTATCAGTTGTCGCACTTTTACTCATGTACCGTTTTGAGAGATTCTTGTAAATTGAAAGCAAGCAAAAGGACAGAACTCAATGAACGACCTGTAAAGTAACAACAGCAGAGACTTGTCCACATCAAAGTCTGAGCAGGAAGTACAGAGATTGTTATTACAGTCTGTCAAGATCATATCTCACTTGTTTCCAAAGGTGTCAGCACAGTCTCAGGGTTGGCGCCTTCACCGGGGCGGCTATGGCCCAATGGCGAGAGAGGAACAATGATTATAGTTTTTACAAAAGGCAAACACAAAAAAACTCCAAGTGCTTCACAAAATAAGACAAGAAACAATCATACAATCATGAATAATCACAGTACACTAAAAAGGTGAAGATACAGACTTCCTGTTTTCTAAAAAAGGACTAAAACAAACTAACGTCCCCTTGTTCTCCTTCCCCCTCTTTGTTTCCTTCACCAGAGCGTCTCAGTTTTGTGGTGGGGTCTAAAGCCAGACTGGAAAATATCAAATTAGCTGTTAATTATAAGAAATACATTGAGTTGTTGATACTTTTTTCAAGGATTTTCCCATTAAATGGGAGATTTGAGATGGGATGTCCTCAAAATGTGAAACACTTTATACATGAGTCTTATTTGTGCGTGGAATCCTTACATTATGATTTGTCAAAACAAACTGCTTCCGGCTTGTTTCACCCAGACAAACATTGCCCCCTGCTGTAATTCAATACTAGTCTTGGTCCTGTCTCCCGGTCCATCTCCTCCACATAGACACATACAAAACACTTTTGAAGTAACTGGCTGATGCTGAACTCATCATTATGCCGGAGTAAGTTTTTGGTGACCCGAAGGCCAAAGCTAACATATCTCTTGGTGCCATGATTCCTCCATGGTTTAAAATCACATGCATGTCAAACATTTGTGGTCATGTCTTGTTTAAAATCAATACAACATATTTTCTGCCTGTGAAATGACCCGAGACCATGTCATTTTCTTCAGCCTCTTGGTTCACCTCCTCTCTCTTCTTGGTCTTGGTCCCGCCTCCAGGTCCAGCTCCTCCTGGTCCCGCCTCCTGGTCCACCTCCTCTCTCTCCTCTCGTTAGTAAAATATTTTCCTCTGATGGCAGTTTGCATTTGCAGCTGTCAGAGCAGAGTTAGTTATAGCCGCCTGCAGGTGAACTCTGCAGCACACTCTGCTCTTCACCGACTGCTGCTGATGGATGATCCTGATGACTCCTGATGACTCCTGATGACTTCTGATGACACTCGGCCTGATCACAGCAGGCTCAGATTCAGACGACCAGGTTATCATGGTGATCATTACTGTAATTGCTATAGTGAAAATCATAATCATCATCATAATTTCTTTCATTCAGACTCTAGGTCCGTATTTACAAAGACAGATCAAAACACAGAGACTTAAAGACAAGACTCAAATAAAAGAATGAATAAAAGCTATACCAGTGTTTCCCTGAAGGAGACTGGTACTTAATGAACTATAAAACCAGTGATAGAACCAAATTGTTTCGAGAGGAAGACCCTGGCTACAGGTTTTTTATGACATAGTTTCATGTTGAAAGTTCAGTATCTCAGCTTTAATGAAATTCCAACGTAATATTGTCCTGTTCTTATTCTTTTCAAAGCAACTATGTATTTATGTATAGCTCTAAATCACAACAGCAGCCATCTTGGAGGACTGAAGAAAGTTGTAGATTTCTACAGAGAGAATCTGATAATCCAACAGGTCCATTTGTCCATAGGGAGCAGGATGACCGGTGTCCAGAAATGTGAATGTCCTGGATCGTCACTGTCCTTATAACCTCCTGCATCAGAGAGAAGAAACTAGAAAAGAAATCTAGGTATGAAAAATGTGAGAAACAGAAGACAAGCTGTATAGTAGTAATTTCACTATTTCAATCTGGAGAGACTACAAGATGCATCTAAAATGGTTTATTCAATTGGCGGTTTGGCACCCTAGGCTCCCGGAAGCAGCACTTGGTCCGTGGAGCTCCTTGCTTGTGCTCGCTGAAGATCCCCGGGGCCCTATAGGTACTGGTGCTAGGGTCAGGGCAAGCAGGGTAAGAGAGAGGCAATGGTTGGGAGGCTTGAGAAGGCCTTGTTGCATGGGAGTTTATGCTTTTAAGCTGCTGGCTCGGCTGGTTAGGTCGGCATGGAATGGCTTTACTGTTCGATAGGTGGAGGATGAGGAGGCCGACCTGGATGGGACGGGCTGCAGCGGATGGTCTTCCAAGATTGAATTTCCACAGGCTGCATTTCTTATTTTATTTTTTTCTGATGCCGCTAAGGCTTACAGCAGGAGAGGTGGTTGCCATAGTAACAGCGCCTGGGGACCCATCTCCAAATGTTGATGCTCGGCTTGGTCAGGACTACCGGAGCTGGAGGATATAACCTAGTGTTTTATGACTTGTCAGCACTTTGAACCAATGATTGTAAAATACAAAACAACAACTGTTTCAGAGCTAGTTAGGACTTGCAGCCATTTCCAGCCCATATGTGTGACATAAACGGTGACTTCCTGTTACTTACACGGCAGTAAAAGGAAGTTTGATTCTGAATAATATTGTAAGCTTTCAAAAGCAAGAGCGCTAACCACTCAGCCAGGATGCAGCGCTAACCACTCAGCCAGGGTGCAGCGCTAACCACTCAGACAGGGCCCGTGACTTCTCTGATGACATCACAGCGGCAAGGTCCCTCTTCTCGGTGTTTTCCTGGTCCTTGTGGAGACACGCTGGTACATTCCTCTGTCGTAGTGGAGACAGCTGTGAGTGACGGTTGGTGAATGTGACTGATTTGCTTCTGTAGGTTCCGTGACAGAGCCGAGGGGCCCCTGTCGGCTCCTGGGGGTCACCTGCTTCCCCTGCACTGACGAGGTGCGGGTGCATTCAGTGCTGCATTCCTCCTCGTGATGGATTTAGACGTGAACTTCGTGAACTGGAGTTTGAACCGAGACTGAAACTACTACAGTTGTCGTGTTATGTTTTGTTTGAGAGAAGAAATCCGATTTATGCTCAAGAGCCACCGGCGTCTCAACAGCCAACGAGAGGGATTCAAAAAATGTCTGTTAACTGGAAACTGGAGACAGGTGAACCTTGAAAACAGTTCATACACAGAGCAAGACAGAAGCAATCACACAAAGCTATATAAAATCATAAATAATAACAAACGAATAAAGATAAAATCCTCCAGTTGTTGCAGCGAAACAGAACTGTTTTAACCTGGATTTGAACATTGTCAGAGAAGAAGCCTGTCTCACATTTTCAGAAAGACTGTTCTAGATGTAAGCATGAATCTGAAATGCTGCCTCCTTAATGCTCGGTCCTAACTCCGCGCACCGACAGGAATATTGTTCAACTTCTCACTGGTCTCTCCAAACTAGTTCTAAAACAACAGCTGTCTATTCAAAACACTGCAGCTCGAGTCCAGACCAGAACCAGGAAGTACCATCACATTAGTCCTGGTCTCAGGTCTCAGAGAATAGACTTTAAATCAGCTCTGGTTGTTACAAATCTCTCCATGGCCTCAAAGTTCATCTGTGACATGTTAGTGACATATGAACCAACTCTGAGGAGCACAGGGACTGGCCTCATGCTGAGACTCTGAGAAGCGCAGGTTTCAATGTTTTGTCGAGCACTTGTGTTGCCTTGTGTCTCAGTTGTGTTGCTCGTTTCTGCAGCTGACCTCGTGACTTTGACTTGTGTAACCGCTGAGGCCCGGAGCTGTCGATCCAGATTCACATGTGACACAGATCTGTATCAGGACAGATG